AAAAAAAAAAAAAAAAATACTTCAAGAGTACAGGTAAGGGAATCAAATGAAGGAAAATTAGAGATAGAGTAATAAACCCAGGTAACATTTCCTTCTGGAGATGCAAATTACATAGCCCATTCATTTATTAGAGAAGGGCTATAAATATTGCTCTGAGCTTCCTTGTAGCCAAAGCAAAGAGGGATAGTAGATAGAATTAGTTACAGAATTCACAGTGCCCGTCAGATAAAAACTGTTTTTCAGGTTATTGAGATCTGATGTATATAAAGAGGGATGAACAGAGTTTAAATAGCATTTATCTAGTATCCGTAATAATTATTTTTCATGATTTTCCTTGTATCCCTTAGTGTAAGCACATGGCATGATGCAAAAAGCAATTTTATGAGAGAGTAGGAGTGGGATGAATCAGCAGAGGTCTTAATCTGGCATGACCCAAGAATGCAATTTAGAAATGTCTAAAGGAATAAATTACATGGCTTCCAGAACCATGCATAGAAAAACCTTTTTCCATGTTATTTTTGTAGCCAAGTGTTAAAGAAAGATTGGACAACAGAGAATTTTTAGTTTTAGTTCCTGACAAGAACTTGAGTTTCATGTTTTCTATCAGTGACAAGAGGTCTTATTAGTTTCTAGTTTATTGAAATTTTTATGCTGTATGACAATAAATTTAGACTGAAATATATAAAATCGGGAATTTATGTGTTACCTAACTCTGAAAATTCTCATGTGTCACCTGTTTTTCTAGACACCATAAATTTGCCAGATAAAATTCACAGATCCACCAGAGCAACATTGTAGCACAGTCGGTAACTAGCCCCTGGCTGCCTGCCCCTCTTCTACCTGTGCTCTCTTTCCTTCACAGCCCTGCTTGTATCTTCTTTTGATTCACCTTCCTCCTCATATTACCATTTCATTTCACTGATGATCTCATGCCCCTCACAGATCGCCTGTAGAACTTTTGACTGCCTTTTTCCTCAGTAGTAACATTTCTTATTTAATTTTTTATTTCTATATGTCTTCTCTCTATAACTAGATTGTAACTCATTGAGGAAATTGATCTGTTCTGCTTGTACTATTTTTGATTCCTCATCTCTTAGTACTTTGGTTTTCAAACTTGTATAGCAATTGAGGTGCTCTTTTCAGATTGGCACTTTGCAAAATACGAAACAAAATAAGTATATATAATTCTGTGCTAAGATTAGATGGTACCTCGCATTAGATTCTAGTTACATAGGTGGGGAAGACGCTAAAGTTTTGAGAGAAAATTACGGGAAAATGCTTAAGATTGGGAAGATTCTTTTAAATCCTCCCTCCCACCCTCATGTATTGGGAAAATGATGAACTTTATCTGATTCTAGAGGCCAAATACTTCAGCTAATGGAGAATATTCCAGAGCACAACGCCTTGTACATATAATGTTGTTAGTTGCTGTCAAATGGGCTCAGACTCATGGTGTCCCCATGTACAACAGAACTAAACGTTGCCGGGTCCTGCACCATCTTCATGATCATTATTATGCTCAGTCTGTTGTTGTGTCCACTGTGCATTTTGAGTGCCTTCCAACTAGGGAGCTCATCTTCCACCACTACGTCAGGCAGTGATCCATAGGGTTTTCATTGGCTATTTTTTGGAAGTAGATTGTCTCTTAGTCTGTCTTAGTCTGGAAGCTCTGCTGAAACCTGTCTGTAACCCTGTTGGTGTGTGTGTATGTACATATGTGTGTGTGTGTGTGTGTGTGTGTGTATAACTTTATTATGTATCTATAACATTTTATTATATTTTAAGTGAAAGTTTACATAGGAAATTAGTTTCCCGTTGAATAATTCATAC